CTCTCTCTCTCTCTCTCTCTCTCTCTCTCTCTCTCTCTCTCTCTCTCGTTCGAGTCGAGCAAATCGAACTTCCGATTTTGAAAATCTTGCAAATTGTTATCTTACCTTCTCCAAATCGAAGATGCGAAAAATCTACTTTAAACCGGATTCGCCCTATAGAGTGAAACCGTAAGGGCGGTCGACGGTCGTTCATCCTAATAAATGGACAACGTGTTCCGATCGGATTCTGCGAACCGAAAGACCTTTGAGCGATCGAATATTATTTTTATCGATCGTCTCGAGAATTTCTACTCCTTTCCAACGATACCCGTTATCGTTCTCCTATAAAGGTTCCCCGATCAAAATTTATCGTACAATTTTAATAGTTTTCCGATAACAAAATTGTAGACTCGAAACAGATATCGATAGGAAATTTGCCAAACAACGAAGATCTGGCCGGATATTGAAATATATCTTACAGGGAACAAAAACTATGTATTTCTAATCTATATTTATATGGTTGACGCAAGTCCACTAATTAACAAACTTCTACGATAGAATTCCAGATTTATTTCTCAACGTGGGAGGAGTCCGGTCTTCGTCGAACGTCGGCAGTCGTCGGCTGTTAGGATCAGGAATCCGCAATGTGGAATCTGTTGCCTGCCTGCCTGCCTGCCTGCCTGCCTGCCTGCCTGCCTCGAGACGACGCGCGCGATTGCGAACACGTTCGAAAAAATCGGATCTCGTGTATGTGGTTCGATCGCGGCGACGTGCTCGCATCGACGTTGGCTATCGTCCGTCGCCGGACTCGCCGCGGACGCGATCTTAGTTGTTCGCGGATGCCGACTGTACGTGGACGGTAAGTAACAGTGGCTCGATCTATCCGACGATCAGAAATGCTTTTGGCATCGACGATGCACGGATTACGGAGAGAATTTAAGACGAACGAGCTAACCGGGTACACGACTTCTCGCCGATATCGTATTCAACTTTCAGGTAAAACTCCGCGAAGACGAGACCCGAAGTGTCGCGAAGTTTCGCAAGAACCGCGCGCAGCTTCCACCGAAGATACGAGCTATCGGACAGAGGCAGCGACGCCGTCGTCGAAGCCCTACGGTGTAGCTGGAATTATCGTAGAAATACGTGCGTGGTTAACGTCGATCGAAGACGATGTCTATTTCGGTACGCGGATTCCGCATCGGTCGATCCAATTATTCGCTGTCTCGAGACATCCGAGAATTGATCTATGGATATCTGTGCAGGATCACGAGGTGAAATACACGCCGAGCAGATGGAGCAAGAGATTCGGGCACGAAGAGTTGCTCGCGTACTTCCACGATTTCGCTGCAACAGGTGATCGCGACGAAGGCGCCACGATTCGAATGAAACGAACGCGTTAATTCAAAGTCACGAAATCCGGCCCATTTTTATGTTTATCATTCGACGATCGACTGGATTCTGGATTCTGGATTCTGGATTCGCTCTTTAACACGGTGTTTTCGGTCTTTGTTCGAAACTCGTTGCCCGGCCGAACATGTTCACCCCCTCCGGATTAAACGATGCGTTATCCCGAAGAACGTTGATACGAGACCTTGTTTAACCCGTGTAATCCGGCGAATTAACTTTTGTTCGACTCGTTCCGCGATGGGGCCTGTTTTCTTCGTATACGCGTGCTCCCCTCGATTACGCGTATACAACATGCAACACCCTTGGTCTACCACGTATGTATAAAAAAGAAACACCGTTGTTGCGGTGTTCGAAACTGAGCCGGGCAAATTCGAAGGATTACCATAATATGGTCACGCTAGGTTTTTCAATGGGTAAGAACGACGTAAAATGCGCAACGCGCTCCATATACATATTACTTTGAAAACTTTCCGTGACGAGAAAAGTCGTCGCGCGTCCGTGGGAGTGTCTTCCCGATGCAACGATAACCATGTATTTCGTTAGAGCCGGTTAACCGGTTATACACAGGTATAATAATTAATTATAAAGTTCGCCACTTATATTTGCAAAAATTACTCCGCTCTTATCGCATACGTGCTTCGTTTCGAAAGCAGACTCCGTTTACGATCGACCACGGTGTCTCCCACGCGTCTACACGTATTTTAGAAATGACAAAATAACAGAACTTTCGTTTTCGATAAAAAATCGATAAAATGGCGATATCGATTTCTTTGCAACGCCGATTTGTAAAAGTAATACGTTTGTTACAGTTACGAAGAAAGCACGTGATACCAGAAATTGCGAGCTGGCTATTCGATACGGACCGCTGACAAACGCTAAATACGACGTGTACGGAACCGATTTGCCAAAAGGTGCGCAAACAAACTTCCTTTCGGCTGGATCGTCGATTATTCTTATTATAACGTTTCGCATCCGTCTCAGATGCTCCTATGCTCGTGTACATCCATGGTGGATATTGGCAAGAAGGTAGCAGGGACGAAGCGGCATTCGCGGTACCGTATTTCGTTGGTCAAGGAATCAAAGTTGTAGTTGTCGGCTACGATTTGTGTCCTCATGGTAATTCCATATCGTTCCGATCCTCTTTGTTTCACGGTACAACGCGCGAAACGTTCTAATTATTTATTTCAGTCAGACTCGGAGAAATAGTATCCGAAATAAAAATGGCGATCGAAGAGATGTTGAAACTAGCATCGGATAATGGGAGCAGGTGCGTCATAGACCCGATACAACTTGGGCAAGAAAGAAACATAGTTTAAAGGAATTTCTTTAAAATTATTATATATTTTTTTGTTTTTTAACAAACGGCTACGATCAGGTGCGTTTGGATCGCCGGCCACAGTGCAGGCGCACATTTGGCAGCGAGTCTTTTATTCGACGAGACGTGGCTGAATAAAATGATGGAACGAGAATACATGAATCCGTTGAAAGGTCTCGTCCTGATAGGGGGTATTTACGACCTCGGTCCTTTGGTCGATACGACCATCAACGACAACTTGAAGCTTACGGAGTGAGTTTCTCGATCATCTTGCGAGAATTCGAACGGCTGTATTCGCATGGCTTGTCTCAAAAATGAAAGGAAGGTATTCGAAATATTATCGCGTTAAAATCAACCCCAGAAATACACCGAAGCTTCTATAAAAATAGATCGACAAACATTTATCGCACGCCTTTAATGTATTTCATATCTTTTTCTTTCTTTTTTTTTAACATTTCTAAACTTTCGTTCTTTTTCTTAAGAAAAAAGATCGAACTTTGCTACGATCTAAAATTTAGGGTGTTAAATGAATCACGACGAATGTATACGTCTTGGGTTAATTATTATTGTATGTATAATACTTCTTTGAATACACCGTTTTGAAATTAAAAACACCCGCACGCTTGCACACGCTTACACACGCTATTTCCAACGATCTCGCCTTTCTTCGTTAACGGTTGTTCAACGAGAATCGGCAGGAAATACGAACAGCTGCACGGGAGCGACCCGATCGGGCCAGTCGATCGATCGTTATTTATATTACTATTATTATTATTATTATTATTATTATTATTATTATACGGTAATGTAAATAAAGAGGCAAACGAAAGTAGAAATTAAGGCGTGCAAAACTGTATTTCTACGTTTGCTTTATCTATTTATTACATGCGCACGCATAAAAATGTTGATCAAGGTAACCGATCGAGGTGTATCTAATAAATAGATCGACGAAACGTTGAAATATAGTTTTCCATATCTTATTTTGCCTCCTTGCTCGCATTATCGTATAACGATATTAACGTTTAATCAACGATATCGCATTAATATCGCATTACGTTTTGGCCCTGACTTCGATCGTGTCGCCTCGCGCGCAGCATAAACATAATTTCCTGCCAATTCTCGTGAATATATTTATATTACATCTCTCTTAATGTTCTATGCCCGATCCTAGAACAGTATCAAACTTGTGTCATAAATTGCATATCCTACGAACACGAGAATCTCTTTCTTTGTTCAAGAAATTTGTAATCCCCGCGATACTGTAGTTAGGCACGCACGTATAATGGCATAATCGCCGCATACAATATTTCAAGAGATCGTAATTCTCTGTGCGATCAACGGACTACATTGATCCGGTTTTGCTTGAAACGTCGCGAAACACGCCGCTTCGATATCATGATGCTTACTCAAAATTCTGATTCGGCCTGCAAATATCGTGTGATCGTAACTAAACCGCAGATATCCATTCGCATACGAATGCTTTAAAAAGAACTTTTCAAACGATATATATAAATACATAAAATATACTAAAAATGCATAAAATTAATTCTCCAACTGGTACTTTTGAGACAAACCATGTTGTATTCGGCGATCGCTGTTACAATGTTTTATTTTAGTGAGGAAATTGCGGCGTACAGCTTCGTCAATCTCGACACTTCGGAGAACAGAATCATTACGGGATTGAAAGTTATCGTGACCGGCGGAGAATGCGAATCGCCAGAGTTTATAAATGAATCGCGCAAATGTGCCCAGGTAATTCATTACCGACATTCGTTATTCGTGCATATCTATCGATTTCATAGGGAAACGTTTCACGCGTGTTCTTCTTTTCTCGTTTTGTTCTAGAAACTCGTCACGATGGTGGACGACGTTCGTTATCTATTGCTTCGCGAGGAAATCGATCACTTCGACATCGTGGAGAAACTCACCGAGCCAGAATTCTCTCTAACGAAAATCATACTGGCTAATATGTCTTGCGCATAACAAATCGTTCATCGATATACGAATTGAGATGTATTACCTACTCTGTACGAAAATCATATATATATATCGGTATTCGTAAAAAATTTATTAAGTGTAACATATCCTTGTACTTGTACAGTGTTGCCGACCGTTCATAAGTTACAAAATTATTACCGTACAAAATTAGCAAGTTTATCTAGTTGTAGTCGGTTGGTCGTCCGCCGTTAGTACATAATAGAGCGTTACGCGCATAACAATGATCCAAACAAATCGCTCTGAGTTTTTGTCTTAAATACTTGAGTTCCTCAGACGCGGATATGTTCTTCGATGATGATTGCTAAATCATTTGGTTGCGCGTGACAACCGATGAAGCGGTTTTAGGTTGAATTTGTACATTTTTCTCACTGTTCTGTCTTACTTGAAGTTTTAAAACAGTATTTTCCGCTTGGTCGACGGGTTTCCTTACGAACGATATTATCGTGGGTTTTTTAGCCAAAGCCAGTACATTTTGCTGAGACACCACTATTTGCCCGTTCTGCGATGCCGTTACGCCATTTGGAACAAATCCTTGAGAGTTCAATATCCCATAACGTTTCGGGACATTTTGCACTTTGATTATACTTGAACCTGCCGGTATCAATATCTTCTTTATTTTATCTTTTTTAGCTAGCGCTATTTTGGATTTACTTGCAGCATTCGCACTGTTGACTACCGTGACCTTTTCATCCGATGTGTCCAACGTAAGATCCACGACATTGTTGTTCACCGCTAAAGCCGGCCTCTTATTTTCCAACTTTCTCTCCGTACTCGATTCCTTCGCTTTCTCAGTTCCGTCTTTCCACGTGGTGGGATGTCTTGCAAACGAACGTACTCGCAACAATGGTTTTTCCTGTTCTGACGGTTTACTATCCGTCGATTCTTCGGTCTTATTATTAGCTTCATCCTCTACAACATACACAGATAACAAAACCTAATTGTTCGCTTTATTTTCTTTGTCAAATTATTTCGTTCTCATTGATATTAGGATGTTTGTAACACTAACCTTTTGTTCTATCAATTGGGACATCTAACGTCACAGACGATACTACGTCAACCGAGTCGTTGGATATTTTCGTTCCATCGTTTCCTTCCGTTCCTCCTGATTCAGACTCGTGCGTACACTTAGGAATGTTTGCAACATCGCTTGGATTTCTTGCTTTCGCATCGCTATCATCGTCAGTGTCTTTCAATTTATTGGCGTTCGTTTCACGATCTTCGTTTATCTCTGTTGCTGTAGGATTTTCAACGTCGACTTTGTCATTCGCATCGTTTTTTATCGTTAATACTTTGTTTCCATCCGATTCCGTTTCTTCTTTCTCTTCCTTGTTTTCTTCTTGCTTTTCTTCTTGTTCCTTTACCTCCATCTCCATCTCCGTCTCCATCTCCATCTCCGTCTCCTTCTCCTTCTCCTTCTCCTTCTCCTTCTCCTCCTCCTCCTCCTCCTCCTCCTCCTCCTCCTCCTCCTTGTCATCCTCCTCCATTTCGCTCTCCGAACTACTTTTACTTTTATCTATACTCAAACTTCCTACATCTAAACTAATATCCTCATCTTCGTCATTGTTATTATCTTCTTCATCGTTCTCTGCGCTCTCCTCTTCGTCTTCTTCGCTCGACGACGTTTTAGCATCTATAACACCGTCTCTAATATCTTCCTGTTTCTTTACAAATTCGTTAAATACATTTGTCAAACGCTGTTCACCCTCCTTTTTGTTCTGTAACAGTTTTTGATGCAACTCAAGGTCCTTCGTAGCTGGATCGTCTTCCTGGTTTTCAAGAAACAAGGAAAATGTATCCCAGTAATCGTTTCGACGAGAACGTTGTAAATATTCTCCCAACTCAATGAACGCCTTTTTAGCTGAAAAAGGAACGCAATTCCAACTGAACAAAAATTCAAAACTATAATTTAATCAGTGATATATATATATATATATATATATGTATGTATATTTACCAATACGCTGCTGTTGTTTAACGTCCAGTCCTAAATTGTTTGATTCGTTACACCTCTTTACGCAGTCTAAAATATCTTTGTAATCTGGGAATATCACTGCATTCACGAATGTACCAATTTTTTTAAGATTACGCAGTTTAGATACTTTAGAGTTAATAAAGTTTGTAATTGCATGGTCTACAGTCTGAATTCCAGTTGTACTCAAGTGTTTCGGCCGTAAGTATTGTCGTCCTGCATCGATATTCTCACCAGTGTATTGACAGTACTTATTATAAAGGTCTACCATTCGATGCTTGTATTTTTCTAATTGCATATAATTGCTGTTGTCTTCATCGTCGAAGTTTACTTCTGTTTCTTCTAACTTTTTTATGTACAACTCACATTTCTTCATAGTTTTCAGTATCAATTTGACCTTTTTCTGTGTAGTACTTTTCTCAGATTCCTCTTCGTCGTTGGCGACATTATTTTCATTTACTCCCGCGTTATCGATGTTATTCGTATGCAAATTGTCCGAACTAGGTAACTCAAAATTATCGTCATGCAGCTTCTGCGTCGTAGGAATACAATTTTTATTATTCGATAATAAAGATGATTTTCCGCTGCACATCCTCTTCATTTCATTATTTACATCGACTATGTGTGTATATAACTGATTTTTATTTTTCATAATGTGATTCCTTTTTTCATTTATAAAATTAATAAAAGCTTCCGAGTTAGCGTATACCTGGTCTAACTGCTCGTATCTTCTCTTTAATTTGTTAGTAATAACTTTCATATCATCCGAGCGATCTTTTTGTAAGCATAAACTGATGAACATAGGAAATATATCTTGTTGCATATGCGAAAACGGTCTTGTCTCTTTAATTACTAATTTTGGTTTTACTATGATATCTGCTTTGCTCTGACACACGTTTGTCTCTCCGCTAGACGTAGCACCCTCTTCTATGTTAGGTTCTTTTACATCTTCTTCTCGTAAGATTTTCGTAGGACCTTTGCCACTGTCGTCGTCTATTTGCGACAATCTTCTTTTTTGTCCACAGACAGCTATTTCACCGCTTTCGTTCGGAGTAATTTCTGTTTTTATAGGTCTAATGAAATTATTTTTAAGCTGTTTAATAACAGGTTGTCTTCCATTCGATCCACTCTGCGATAACGATTGAAATACACTTTTATCAAACAACAAGAACATCTATTTTATAATGCTTGAATTTATGAGTAACAACTTTAACAACTCAACATATAAAAACATTAAATCATACAAACCTGTTCTGTATCTTCATCATCCGATGAAATACAGATGATCTCACGATTCTCCATATTTATTATCCTAATGCAACAAATAAGTTGAATTACATTATAAATTAATCTGTTACAGAGTGTGCTTTAATATTTGTTCCGTCATTCAAACTCCGGCAAGTTACATCACAGTCGTGTTAGAAATATTTCATCTCATGTTCACCTTTGTGATTGTTTAAAAATAATTCTTATTTTCTTTGTTACACATTAATCCACTATGTATTTCATTTGTAGGTTACAGATTCATCACTTATGCACTCGACTAAGCTGTAAAGTTAGCCAAATATACACAACAATGGGCTCTTATACTGGTTACATTTGCGGGAATTTTAATTTTTCGAGAAACAGAAAACAGAGAATACACACACATACCTACATAGTATGTATCAT